CTTCTTCCAAAGAAATCAGGCAAGAGTTGTCTCTAAAGATGAAATAAAGAGAGTGGGCAAGAGCACATTACCTTTAATTTCCCAGTCAAGCCACCAACAAACAGCATTGCATTTGCATCCACATCTAGAATGGTGTATCCTGGAGGGGATACTGAGTGGTAGGTACTAGGCACAATGCTGGCTTTGGGTCCATCCAGGGCTCTCACAGAAATAGATCCATTTCTTCCCGTTCTTTAAGGGTAAATGTTAAAACAAAGGGGAAGGAAACATAGAAAATAAAATATATATCATACCTCTGTCAACTTCAGATTTCAATAACAAAATACAGAGCACTCTTGTGGAACATTTTCAGATAAAAGTAGATGTCTGGCTTCAAATATTCCAAACTCATTAAATCTCAAATTAACACCCAGAGTCTGATCTTTGCTGGATATTTACAGTCAGACTGAACCAGGACTAGAGAGTCTTATCCTGATTCTGTGTGCCCACGGATACAAAATGACACAGCATCCATTAGTTTATGAAATAGCTATGAGTCAAGTGGAAACATTTTTCCTATTGTTTTACATAATTGGTGTTTTCTATGCATTCAACAAATTTATATTAATTCATTTAGCATTTTGTCTAATTTGATTTGGCAAGTGAAACCCAGATGAGCCACCCTTCTGCAGTAGAAGATGCATATTTTTTTTCCTAAAATTCCTTATAATATTTTGAGTACAAATTTGCTGAGGTAGAGTTCCTGAAATTGTCTTTTAGTTTGCTGCACCATCTTAATGTATATAGCATAATATCTAGTCTTCAGAGTTGTGCATATAAATTATATGGAAGTTCTCTTAAATTCAATTAACAGAATTTTGAAAGCTATTAGCATTTTATTTCATTTTCTTCTTCAAGTGATTGATTTCCATGCATTGTTAAATATGAAAATCTGGTCTCTCTTCTGAGACAAGCAGTCATAACACAACTTCAGTGTCATATTTCTCTCCCTGCTGTCTCATTTTGGTAATCTTTTTATCTTTAA